ATGGAAGTTGGGAGAGAAGTAAGGTGGGAAACTTGTTCCTTTCTGTCTTCTTCCATGCATCTTTTCTCATCATTATACTAAAACCAGGCACTGTGACTTCTCACCTGGCTGCTTTAGCTCTTATGAAGGTAGTTTGTTTGTTAGCTATTCAGTTGCAGAGTCTATGTGGAAGATAATCACTAGGGATCTTAGCCTCCCATGTTGTACCACTTCTGGTTTTTCTTTAATCTGGGTCTATTTTAGTATTTATTCGGCCTAAACTTACTTTCATTTTTTTATATCATTAGTTTTGAAGGGTTTTTTTGTAAACAACATAAAACTTATTTTTTAAAAAAATTCTGTCTTAGTTACTTTCTCACTGCTGGGACAAAATACCCAACACTCACAACTTAAAGGAAAGGTCACAGTTTGTAGAAGTTTCAGTCCATAGTTGGCTAGTTCCAAGGCAAGACAATATGGCAGAAGGGCATGGCAGAGGAGAAACAGGGCCTTCCTTGTTCTTTTCTTTTTTATTCCATCCGGGCTACAAGCTTATTGGTCAGTACAACCCACACCCAGGGTGTCTTACTTGTTCAGTAAATCTATCACACATGCAGAAGTATGCTTCATCCATGGTCCAGTCACTCCTAAAAGCCCCCATATGAATGCATGAGGTTTAGAGGTACATCTAGTTATAAGCCATAGCAAATCTAGTCTTGGAATTCTGATCTTTTAAAAGTAAATTTTAATTCAAGTACATCTTACTGGAATTATTTCTTTGCATTTTTCCTTCTGTATTGGATTGATCCAGTTTTTTCCTTATCTTTTCTTCCTTTTTTTAGTTTTTGTTTTAGTAATTATATATTCAGTTTCTATTTTTTCAGTTTATAGTCATTAGTCACAATTCATTAATCTGTTCTCTATTGATTTTAATAGAGATTTTAACAGATTTTAATCTGTTCTCTATTGGTTTTCATTTTGTTATTGTAGTAATGCTTCAGTTAGTAATCTTATGTACACATAATTCCACATATCTGCTAGTAGACCTGTAAAATAAGTTTTCGTAGGTGATTGCAGGTCAAATAGTATGTGTATTCTAATTTTGATAAATACAAATAATATCCTTTTAAAGATAAGTTTATTTACTAAGCAGATTTTATGTTTCATATGTAGCCAAATATATTGAAGGAAAGAAATATTTAGTTTTAGGGGCGGCTACTACTGCGGCGTTATTTTTAAAGGATGTTGAAGATTGTACAAATTAAAAATGCTGAGGACAAATTTTCTATATATTTTTTAAATAATAGAATTTTCTTAAAATGAACATGGAGTCTATCTTCCTGATCTGAAGAATTTAGGGAGAACCAAATTGATGCTTGAGTTGCCTGTAATGGATCCATGCCGGTCAATTTGAAAAACAGTGCCAGAAATTGGGACACTCATATGCCAGGTACTGAGAGTCTTCAGAGTAGGCTGAATTTCCAATGTCAGTGGAGATTTCGATACATTGTCCTGTTTAATTTAAGCAGCTATGAGCAAAGTCCTTAGTTGGATAGAATACAGAAAAGTTTAAACTAATACTGTTTTCCTCCATGAGCTCAGTGTAGGAGAGGATGACATGGACATAAATAATGGACTAAAGGGAATGGACACACAGGAGAGCTAGAAACTGTGCAGAGGAGAAAGATCACTTCACTGTGCAGCCCCTGTCAGAGTTCTTTTTCTGTGTGCTATGCATGGGCTAAGGGACCGGAAATCGCTGGGCTGCTGGGATTTGGGAAAGGGCAGCATGTTCCTAAGTGGAGACTGGATATAGTGAGTGTTGAAGTGTTGGCAGCACATTGTGAGGGTGAGTTGGGAGGACAGTGGCGTCTGTGACTGTTCCATTAGTCTGCTCTTTGCTAGGCAGGAACTGGCACCGATCTTTTCTCATTAATCTTCCCTGTCTACTACTCTGAACAGCAGAGTACCTTGGGACTAGGTGGTACCAAGTCACTGGTTGCTTGAAGCTAGAATGTAAAACGAAGGTAGCTGATTTCTGTGGGGGCTTTCAAATAAGGTGGAGGTCATTAAAGAGAGAAGGATGCTTCTGTTGGAGAGGGACGATGAAACTTAGAATTTAATTGCTGTTTATCCCCAAAGATGTGAACTACTGTACACCACTTACCGCTCAGCTCATACTGCAGAGTCTCTTATACAGAGTGAACAATGGCAGGCATTAGATCTGTATGTTACAGGATTTTTCCTGAGCACCTCTCTCTCTCTTTTTTTTTTGAGACAGGGTCTCACTATGATTAACCTTTAATACAAAAGGCCAGTTCAGACTGGCCTTAAACTCACTATAAAGCCTAGGCTGACCTCGAACTCCTGGGGATCCTCCTGCCTCAGCCTCCTAAGTGCTGGGATCACAGACGTGCACCACCACGCCTGGCTCTGCCAAACACATTTTTAATCACCACATCAATAGTAGCACTGTGTATAACCCAGTTTGAACAGATGGTTTACAAACCACTGGCATCTGGATCACCCAGTCAGCATGGTAAAAATGTAATGTCCTCAGCTCTATTAGAGAATCAGAATGTGGAGGTGGGAGCATAGGAATTTGCATCTTGACATGCTTTCCAGGTAAAAATCACTGCTCTTGCTCTTCAGACTTTGTGTAGAACTTTTCATTTACTTGCTATAAGGAACTTTTATTCACCAAATATTACCCTGAGGTGCTATTAAAGTGTTGACTCAATTCTGTTGAAATTAGAGTGGGAATAATAATGTTGTGATCAGCTGGGCATGGTGGTACATGCCTGTAATCCCAGCACTTGGGGGGCTGAGGCAGGAGGATCCCTGTGGGCTATATAGTGAGTTCAAGGCCAGCTGAACTACACAGTGAGACCCTACCCCCAGTGCCCCCCACCACCAGATAATGGTGAACATTTGAGTAGCATATGAATATGCAAGATGGTTCAGACCTCAAGGGTATCACTTCTAATGTCATTCACACCAACAGAAGTTATTACACAGTAAGCTAAGTGTTAGTGATCTGGGAAATCCAGAGCACTGCAGGGAAACGTGGATGAGTATGACTGAAGGTAGAGAAGGCATAATTGTGATGACATTTGGAGACTCTACCTAAAAAGTTTAATAGTTATGTTTGTTAGGCAAGTGAAGACAAATACTGGAACATTTAGACTTGTTGAAATACAACAGTAACAGTGAAAAAAAAAAACCCAGTGTGAACATTATTCCCTTTATCTTCATAGCTATTGGAGGATTTGAAACCCAAAGTGGAAAGCTGAACTCTTACGTGCAAGTTTTACTTGTTGGTTTCACTGTTTTCTATTTATTATTAGGAAAGAACCACATACAGGGTAAGCTTTTATTGTGTGCTTTGCATTTATGGACTCATTATTTTTCTTCAAGCTCCTTTTTCTCTCCAAGTTTTCTTGCTTTCTTTGAGGTTTTTTTTAAAATCTTTTATTTTCAGAAAAAATTTTAATATACAATGCTTTCTAAACTTCAATCCCCTGACTTCAGTTTGTTGTTTTTAAAACTGCTAGGTCCACCTAACTGCTGACAGGAGAAAAGGGCTGGTTTCTAATTCAGCAAATTTCTGAGGAAGTGGGTCAGATCCTAGATAATTCTCTTGATACCCTGCAATTTTTAAAAAAGAAATCATGTCCTGCACAGTTTAGTACTTCATTTAATCCAATCTTCTGCACACAAAATTTGGTTGCTGTTACCTTCTCCAATCCTCGGAGAACTCTCTTTCACTTAGACCACCCTCAGCTTGTCCTTTGCCTGCACGCGCATGTTTGCGTGTGCGCACACACACACACATACACACACACATACACACACACAGAGTTACTAACCCTTCCTCCAATCCAAATACATACCCAGTCTTACTCATGCTCCAAGAATTTTTGAAATGACTGGATATGTTGGTCAGGAGGAATCCATCTAAGACTAGGAGATAACAAACAAAAGCTTAGGAGAGCTGGGCATCAGAGAAAAATCCTTACACTACTTAGATTCTCTGGGTTGCTGGCAAGGCTGGATCTAGAGGGCCCTTGTGTATACCTCCTATGGTAAATAGTCTGAGTTAGATGACTGAATGTAAAAGTTTTAAAGTTTGCTTTTAATTGTCTTTAACCTTTAATACAAAATACATTGTGGTCTTAACATGCAGTATCCCATTTAAGGTGTATATGTATATAATTTTACCGATGAGAAAACAACTGAGGCTGAGAGATCAAGTAACTTCCCTGAGGTTCATGAGGTGTAAGTCCAGTGCTTTTCACACACAGCCTTTCACAGCACAGTTTTTCTTGTGGTGTCTTTGTGATGTTTAAACTTCTTTATTATAACATTAGGAAGGTAACACCAGAATAGTCCATCCCAGTCCTAACATTCTGTGACCTTGTGGCTGTAGACAGCAGGTAAGATTTTGAAGAATTGGGTCTCAAAGCATGCACTCCTTTTGAAGATGTGGCAGATAAAATGAACCATCTGGGAAAACACCATCGGATGTGACAGATCTACGTGGGAGCCCCACGGAGCCACAAGTCATCGTAGGGGTTAAGAGGAGAAATTTATCTTGGCAGCACGCACTTCCACAGAAAGGAGTGAGGCCAAGAGGTGCCCTTATATGAGAATACTGTGTTCTAGCAGTCAGGAACATTCCCCTTAGTATCCTTAGTATTTTTCCCCATTGTCTTCTGTGTAAATATCTTCTGAAGTTACAATTTGTAATTGTAATTACATTGCAATTACAAAAAAGGCTATAAAATATTATTTTAAATCAACTAAAGAGTCATGCAGTTTATTTGGTTACAGTGAATTATTTGACAAAATGTTGAATTCGTTCAAACAAATATACATTAAATATGCTAATAAGTACTATTGGCTATGCATGGGTAAGTCACATAATTAGTTATGAAGAATGGTGCAAATCCAAACCTTAAAAATTCCATAAGTCAAATCACTGGCTTTCATCTAATAAAGTAGGGGAACTCATTCTTGGGTTAATTTTAGTACAACTTTAATGTAGCATTTTATTATCTTACAAAATAGTTCTGTAGCTCATGTAAGCCTCACACCAACATTGTAGAGTTTTATTCCCATTTTATGGATGAAGAAACAGGCTTAGAGAGGAAAGGTGGATTCTTGGACTTCACTACATTATTATGTGGCTTAGCTACTGAACTTGAGCCTAGATTTGGGACTTCATTTGAAATATGAATTATAAAAAATTAAATCTTTGTGCTGTGTATGGCCGGCGGATAGCTTTTGGATGTTATTTGCCATGCAAATTATTAATACTATTTCATTGTAAACATAGCGTCATTCCCTCTTATGATTCAAATAAAAGTATTAACTTTAAATTGAAGATGTCTGAATAGAAAATTGTTACTTGGGGAAAAATGCCAATTTCTAAATCTTTTAAAAAATGTTTACAGATAATACGTAATATAACTGGAGAATGGTAGTCTGACTTTTAACTATAAAGATATTATGGAAATTTGTTTTATAGTGTACTTAGCATGTATTCTAGGTGAACCATCAAAAATGCTTATGAACAGTTATACTGTAACGAACAAACCATTTGAATTTAAACCAATGCCAATATATTTTCTTTTAAAGAGAAATATCAGTGTGTGGGCTTGAAGATGAAAGTAAAAATGTATGTGTTTGTGATACGGCTGATAAATCCTTTAAATGACCTTATTCTTAACACTTAAAGTGGAACATCCCAGTACCAGATTAACAAATTTAAACACGATAAAGCCTGAAGTCTAAGTTATCCAGCAGAGTGACTCATGCTTCTTTGTCATCCTCCCACGACAGTAAGTTGTTCCATGTGAATGCTAGTAACAGGCATCATACCCTGTTAATGCTAACATGTAGGAGTCAGTCAGAGGTAAGAACCCCTATCACGATTAGCATTAACAGCATACAGCCTCCAGCAAGCCTCCAGCACTCACAGGATGAGGCGTAAAGAATTTAAACCACAGATTTCCCCTTCCTGATTTGCGCCACCTGCAAAGAGAGAAAAAAATAGTTGCGTATGCACATGCACTAATAAAGATGGAGTGATAGGGTATAAATCGGAATGCAAAATAGTCTTTATTTTCTTTTGAAGGGAAAGAGCTCTTTAAATCCTAAGCATTAATTTGTTGAAAAAGGTGGAGAAATTGGCAATTAAGAGATAATACTGTTACTTTTAAGTATATTTGAAGACTTTTTAAAATTTTAAATTCTATTCTGTAGTTGAGAATAATTTATGCATTTGTATGATTTTCCACAAAAAAGAAAACTACTCTTCAAAGTCCCCAAATGTTAAAATGAAAAGGAGAGAGCTGGATTTCTGATACAGTATTATGTGTCCTAATTTATTTCCCACTGAGGAGCTAGACAAGTAAAAGACAAAAATATTCAAAATCGTACTTTATGAAAATTAAAAGTGAATTAGCCTATTTATAAAAGTAGGATTTGGGCTAGATTTTCATTCTGGAGTAAGTAGTTGAAGTTTTACTGTTATTCTTTCTGAAACTATGACATAGACAATTCAGGTCTTGCCTCCAAATGAATGCATCTAAAAATGTCCCCATCTGCTATTTAGAGCGTCCTTTGGGAAAGCATGCCCCAGAGGCTTTGGTTTTGGTCTATGTAAAGGAGTAGGACTTAAAGAGTGTTCTTATCTCAAATGACTTGTCTTCAGCAAAGATTTGATTAGAAAAAAAGAAAAAGATGAATTGTCTATTTCCCGTTAGAGTCAGATTTTTCTCTCTCATAAAGTGACATTTCTCCCACAAGTTTCTGGTTTCAGTGTTACTACTGCAGAACCTAGAAGTCAGAGCATCATTCAGGTATGTGGTCCTCTTGAGTACCATAGGGGAAGCACCTTCTCTTTTTATTTAATAATGAAACCAGCTAGATGTAAAAATGTGAGTAAGTTCAAATGTAATGCATAAAGTTAAAAATTCCCCAGTGAATATATTTTGACAGGGGAGAATATCGTGGTTTGGAAATTTCCAAACCAAGGAAATATATCATACTTACTGATAGTATTTTTTTAAACTTTGCTGTTTCCTGAGATGAATTAGTTTCATGATGAAAAGATTTGAAATAAACAGTATCAATTCAGGGTTTTAGTTCATTTTATAGAATATTGCTAAAAATACTGTAAACATAGTGACTTTTTCCCTTTAGTAGTGCCTTAGACACAGTAATTGCTCAATACAAACACAATCATCTTTTTTTTTTTTTTTTTTTGGTACCGGGAATCAAACTCGGATCCTTAGCTTGTGAGGCAGGCGGTGGAACCACTGAGCTAAATCCCCAGCCCAATACACAGTCATCTCAAGGGTTAGTTCCACTCAACCAGTATAATTCCACTTTCTCTAAAAGGCATATATGTGCATATAAATATATATATATATATATATATATATATTTGCTTGATACTATTCTACCCATAAATTTAACTCCTATTCTCTAATTGTGATATCTGAGTACAAGTATTAAAATAGTTATTTTGTAATATAATATTTTTCCTCTTTTGACCTTTTTTCTTTAACCATACATATGAATTGTCTAATTCCACTTTCTCTAAAAGGCATATATGTGCATATAAATATATATATATATATATATATATATTTGCTTGATACTATTCTACCCATAAATTTAACTCCTATTCTCTAATTGTGATATCTGAGTACAAGTATTAAAATAGTTATTTTGTAATATAATATTTTTCCTCTTTTGACCTTTTTTCTTTAACCATACATATGAATTGTCTGATTAGAGTGCTTTGAAGAGTGACCAGGGTACCAGGGTTTTTGATAGTTGTACTATGTTAAAAATTCTAATAGCTTAGCTTTTAATTTTTTTTGTTTCAAAAACTAAAGGTATATTAAAGAGTCACACAAGTCTTGTTCTTAATGCTCAAATACAAACTGTGATACAAGTCTGATGAATTTCTAAAACTGCAGAGAAATGAGCATTTGTCTTAGTACACTACATAATCTTAAGTCTCATTTAAAACACAGATGAAAATATTAACTCCAATAAACAGATTAGAGGAGAAGACATCTAAGAATAGCTTTAAAAATATATTCAATAGTCTTCTAGCCTCCTGAAGGTGGAAGCTGTGCTCTCAGTGTTTCTGCCTGGGCCAGCCAACCAAAAACAGAATTGCTATGTGCCTGAGTGGCAACTACCGATCGTAGACAAGATAGGCTGGTCCATTAGCCAAGGCCTTGGGTAGAGGATGATGTCATAAGCCAATAGGAAACGAAGTGGCTGTTTTTGGAGTTAATACACCTACCAGCTGGTAGAGTGGCAGAAGAATTATACACAATTATAGAGCTGGCAATCAACAGTGACAGTGTCAACCAAATGATGAGAATATGGCAAGCATAATTTGCAATGCAGAGCAATCCAAGAGAAATTTATGTGAATTATACAAGATAAGTTGGATTGCTATCTTGCTTAGGCAGTTCTGCAGTTATACTTCAAACTCTTGCACTCCACAAAAGTTTCTGGCCTTTTACATGAGGCACGCCGTGGCAATGTAACTTTTACTACAGCATAGTTCTTCTCAGTAGCTGGGAACAGACTTCTTGTTAAATCTAGTACTTGAAAGAACTGCTACTCACTGTGCAAGTTTCAAACCAATCCTCACCTTGGACAAAAATCTACTAAGATGAAGGAATATATATATATATATATATGACAAATAATCAATAGTCCCAAATAACTTTCATTATTGGGCAGGTTACTCTTCCCTGGTAATAAGATCTAAACTGAAGGCACATTCAGGAAATTTTCCCTTAAATTATGCTTTTCTGAAAGATGATTTTTTGGGGAGGATAGAGAAGGGATAGGATTTCAAAATATCTTTATACTTACCTTACTGATTTGCTGGGGAATATATTATCGGCATGCTATATATTCAGAGGAGAATATATCCCAGGTTTGATCCCTTTATTTTTTCAATTTTTTTGGTGGTAAAATACAGAGGAATCATATGATCTTAATCATATTTAAGTTTACATATTAAGTTTGCATATTTAAGTTTACTTGTAATGTTTTTCAATCATCATAATTTATCTCCATAACTTGTATTGTAAGGATCTCTTTTTATGTATGAATCATAATTTCTATCCCCCCACAATTTGATACATCTATTTTTTCAAGTTGTGCTGCTTCTTCTCAGCACAATTTAATATTTGCATATCAAAGCAACTGCATGATATGTCAGTGGTTGAATTTCATAACTAAACCCATCATGGAATACCCTAACTATTCACTTTGAAATATAAAAATATTTGGAAACCATTAGTTTGTTATGAAATGAATATACATCTATTTCCATTGAAAGCCATGATCCTATGTTGATACAGCAATACAAAGTCTAGCTCCAAAATCACTTTAACAGGTGAAAAGAAATATTTTCCTGCTTTTGAAAATTAAAATGATTGAGTTTAGCTAATTTCCTTTAAACATTTTCCCGCTTTAATTGTTTTGGTACCTGTCAAAAATACAAGCATTTAAATGGAACTCATAGTTGATTCCTATATGGATCTTCTTCCTGAAAGCAATTAGCGAATAATTGCATATATGGAAGCAGATTCTGACTTTCCCACCAGAACTTATTCTGATTCTCTGTGTTCCAAAACTAGAGTTTTGGGGTAGGTCATGGATGTAAGCAATAAAGATTAATACAGGTATGTAGAAATCAAGACCTTGAGCAATTTTGGACATGCCAGAGCTATCTTTGGCATAACAGCAATTTCTTGGTTACCTTTTGACCTAGGGCCAAAAGATGAAGGGAGTGCAAACAAGATACCCCAAAGACCCACACCTTTAAAACTTCTGCATCTGGGCTGGGGATTTAGCTCAGTGGTTCTGGTGCCTGCCTTGCAAGTGCAAGGTCCTGAGTTTGATCCCCAGTACCAAAAATAAAAAAATAAAAAAATAAAACTTCTGCATCTGTCCTAGTGCTTTCCTTCTACTTAGTTTGAATCTCTTACTATCGGAATCATCCTCTGTGGTGGGAGAACCAAAATGGTAGGTAAGGTTTCAGATAAGTTCTTCTTGAAATTCAAGTTAAGTCATTTGGGGAAGGAAGAACAGGGTGTGTTTGAAGTTGACATATTAACTTATATTCCTTTATTAGGTTAGTTAGCTAGTCATCCCTGAAAGCACTAGTTAAAAACTGAGGAGAGAGGATCCAAGGTAGGTAGGTTTTGATGGGAGTAAAGAGTGATTTAAGGAAAAGATAAAGATACACCTAAAATAGTTCAAGAGCTTATACTGTTTATATTTAGTATAAAAGTCATAAATTAAATATTTTATCTGTCTCATCTGAGTTTTAATTGTTTTCTGTTTAAATGTCTTTGCATGTTATAAAACTTCATAAAATGTATTTTAATTTTTCAGTAACCCTTCATAAAGAGCTTCAGTGTTCTCTGATAAAAGAAATTTGAAATACTGTTTTTATTAAAAACTTGAACTTTCACAGTGTGTTTATTTGTATAAAGTTTATCACCTGCACTCGAGAATATTATATATTATGAATCAGTACCTGATTTTAAAGGTAAGGCAACTTCTCTGCTGTCAGGAAATGGGGTCAGAATGTTATTTTTCCTCTTGAATTCACAAGGTCTATCATTAAAAAAGAACTGGTGTGGCCTGCTACCAAGACCCCAAGCAATGATAGTGACATCTTCTAAAGCACACAAATGCAGCTTCTCAAACTAGAATGACTGCTGTACAGAAATAACCTATATCCCGCACTCTTAGTGAATAAGATTACATTTCACATCATTAACTTTATATTTAAGAAAAATTTCCTGTGTAAGCCATTATTGTAAGGGAAAATTATAAAATTATGTTGTGATATTTTCTTTTCATATACTTTCATACAAATCTAAATGTCTTTACTTGCTACTTCTAAGTAAGAGCTATTTATTAAAAATAACTACTATTTCTAAATTAAGAGCTCCTTATTGAAAAGAGCCATCTGCATA